GATTTACAAAATGATGTGGCAAAATTTATTATGTTGATTTCAAAAAGTGTTTTTTAAATCACTGATTGACAAGATGCCTCATCACATTTTGTAAACTATTTTTGTAATCCATCTATGTACATATAGCATGATTCTTGGAATAGTATATTTTGATAGATTGAGGAACCTTCTCTCTCAAATAAAATAAAATAAAAAATAAAGTTTGAAGACCCTATTGCACAACTTAAATATACACATGTAACTTAAGCCACCAATATTTTGCGAATTCTCCAAACAACTAACCTACAAAAATCAACAAACAAATACACGTATTCCGATTCATGTTTGATTACAAAGAACCTCATCCATGTAAACTATATAACATCCTGCCAAGTCAAAGCTTCTAGAGCTATGAGATTGGTGTGTACCTTGAAAATGAGATTAGCAAATTTCTATCATTTGGTCAGGATCTTTCCTTCCTAAATTCACTAATTTTATGTTTAAGCAGGAATAAGAAGATAAATGACTATTTCAAATGAGGGCATTCAAATTTGCATACCTCTCTTTGTTCTCAACTATATTTATTTATAGATTTCTAATGATGTAATAGGATAATTAAGTCCTTTCCTCTAATGATATATGACAGTAGTTGATTGGTGAATTTTTAATTGAATATGTTAGCTTTTCACATTTATTCACTAGTTCAAGTGTTTTTGTTGATATACAAAAATGAGGTCCAATTAAATGGTCCAAAGAATGAAGTCCAGTTAGGAAATTCAAAGGATAGGCCCAAACGAGACCATGTAAAAACCTAAGACGGAGTTATGTAGCGGTGGTCCATCATCGCTCAAGCCTCCGAGACGCCCAAGACTCCAGTCTGTGATCGAACGATATGAAGAGTAGCAAAGTGCTTCACGAACAGAGGGACATAGTCAAAGTCGTTACGAGCCAATGACAGAATTGAGTCCTCGAACCATGCGTGAGTTGCTTGATGAACTTACACAAGATGTTGAATAGGTAAATTTACAAAATG